GTGTGTGTGTGTGTTTGTTGTGTGTGTGGTATGTGGTGTGTGTGGTGTGGTGTGTGGTGTGTGGTGTGTGGTGTGTGTGTGTGTGTGTGTGTGTGTGTGTGTGTGTGTTGTGTGTGTGGTATGTGGTGTGTGTGTGTGGTGTGTGGTGTGTGTGTGTGTGTGTGTGTGTGTGTGTGTGTGTGTGTGTGTGTGTGTGTGTGTGTGTGTGTGTGTGTGTGTGTGTGTGTGTGTGTGTGTGTGTGTGTGTGTGTGTGTGTGTGTGTGTGTGTCTGCTTATACTAGTACGGACTAATGTCGGACGGTAATGCCAGACGCTCTGCCACCAGACCACGGAAGCGGTCGATATAGTTTATAACATACAATATGTTGGGATATAGGTTATCACATACCATGTGATGGGGATATAGTATATAACATTCCATGTATCGGGGATATATATTTCATAACATACATTGTGTTGGTTGGCATAGTCTATATCATACAATGTGTCGGAGATGTAATTTTAACACACGAAACACCCCTTTCCTCTCCCTCTTGCTTATACAGAAGCTAGTGTAGAGGTGATTACACAACGGTGAAACACCAGGTTCTCGTGTTTGATCTTCGCCTTTACGAAGGGGTCATGCATGTTTGATTGGGGTTTGACCCGGGCAAGTGTTCGCGCATACCTGTCTCTCATCATAAGGCGTTCTTATGCAGTCGGGCTGAACTGGCAACCTTAAAGGAAGCCATCGATGAGACACAAAGGCTGGAGGGCCTAAATTAACACGTGACGTGATCATGGCACAATGGAAATCTTTCCTTCTGCACACGCCATCACTGTTAAAACTTACAATTAGGAGTTGTGTTGTAATAACGCAGTGAAGCATCCGTATTGGAATAAACAGCACCTGGAGTGAGTGGACGATGACTACCTTTAAGGTACTTACAATATCTCCCCCGTACCCTCCCCCATAATCCCCCATAATCCCCCCCACACCAAACACCCAACACCCAACACCCAACACCCCACACCCGACACCCCACACCTCCAACTCACATAAAGAATCATAGTAATACCTTATTATATGAAAAGATATTTGAAAATAAGAATGAATCTATGCAAAATGAATACATGAAAATTATTATTATTATTATTATGATAATTATAATTATAATTATAATTATTATTATTATTATTATTATTATCATCATCATCATCATCATCATCATCATTATTATTATTATTATTATTGATGTTGAAGACGACGACGACAGCAACAATTGTGCTTAGAGACTTCGAGAACGGTGTCTGCGTGGACCACGACCCGAATACTGCACCCTGCGGCCATGCATTACACATATGTAATGTCGTCACGTCAACATTGTAGGTAATTCATTATACACGCACCAGGCCTTTAGATGTTCACCACAGCGCCCGACCATGGATGTTAACGCATTCTTGAAATACGACATTAAGACGGTGGTGGCGTTTGTGTTGTTAGCGTGCAGGCATGTGTCCGCATGTATGCTATACATGTTTGGGGCTCAAGTTCTAAATAGCTGTGCTCGAATTATTGAACTCTCCAGTGAAGAGGTATTTTTATGACGACTAGTTCTTGTGCCACTGTGACGTGCTGCCTGTCAGTGAAGGCGACAATGTCAACAGCGAAGACCGTCACGTCTCTGACGAAGGCGGGAATGACACAGGTGAATGCAATAATATGTGGCTTCCCGTGTTGATAATGGGGCAGAATAGACTCGCTGATAATCTGGGACAATGAAGGTGCTCTGTACCCTATGCTTATCTTCCCATTGTGATTCCAGGGCAGAACAGGTCGCCAGTACCCCGTGCTTATCTTCCCGTTAGGATTCCAGGGCAGAACAGGTTGCCAGTATCCCATGCTTATCTTCCCGCTGGGATTCCAGGGCAGAACAGGTTGCCAGTATCCCATGCTTATCTTCCCGTTAAGATTCCAGGGCAGAACAGGTTGCCAGTACCCCATGCATATCTTCCCGTTAGGATTCCAGGGCAAAACAGGTCGTCAGTACCCCATGCATATCTTCCCGCTGGGATTCCAGGGCAAAACAGGTCGCCAGTACCCCGTGCTTATCTTCCCGTGGGGATTCCAGGGCGGAACAGGTCGCCAGTATCCCATGCTTATCTTCCCGCTGGGATTCCAGGGCAGAACAGGTTGCCAGTATCCCATGCTTATCTTCCCGTTAGGATTCCAGGGCAGAACAGGTCGCCAGTACCCCGTGCTTATCATACCGTTTGGATTCGAGGACGGGATAGTTCCCAAGTACCCCATGCTTGTCTCGCCGTGGGTGTTCAAGGACATGTTAGACCACAGTACCCCGTAATTGTCTTCCCAAGGGAATTCTGGGAAAGAATAGACCCCCAGTACCATCCTATTTCTGAACGAGCCGATTAAGATTATGATCAGAAATGTAAATATATTAATGTTGTTTAAATAATAAAGTCGGTATCATGTAAACCAGTGCTTAAAAGCATATGCAAGGCTCCACGACCTCGGGGCACAATAACACACCAACACGTCGCTGTATAACAACCTGACTGTTGCGACACCCCTGTAGCCGAGGTCCTGCTATAAACTGGAATCCCCACAGGGAATTGCACAAGTGGTAGGTACATGTGACACATCCGTATGCCGGGTTTCGCAAGGCCGAGCAGATTCAGGAACAGTCACGTATATATAGACAGTGTGACCGACAGCCTGACTGTGTACATACACAATTGTCAGGTATTCATCTTTCTTATGAAACGTCCGTTACGTTGTCTCGTCAGACAGCTTAGGGGCGTTCGGTGTGGTGTGGCGGTTATTGCAGTGTGTTCAGTCTTGTTGAAACAGTTTCGTCATGTTGTAGGAAGCAATACCCAGCATTCAATACCCAGTACACAATACACAATACCCAGTACTCAATACACAAAACCCAGTACTCAATACACAATACCCAGTACTCAATACATAATACCCAGTACACAATACACAATACCCAGTACACAATACACAATACCCAGTCCTCAATACATAATACCTAGGACATAATACACAATACCCAGTACACAATACACAATACTGAGGACTCAAACCACAATATAAAGGACTCAATACATCATACACAGTACATACTACACAATACCCAGTACATAATACACACACCCAGTACTCAATACACAATACCCAGTACATAATACACAATACCCATTACTCAATACACAATAACCAGTACTCAATACATAATACCCAGTACTCAATACATAATACCCAGTACACAATACACAATACCCAGTACACAATACACAATACCCAGTCCTCAATACATAATACCTAGGACATAATACACAATACCCAGTACACAATACACAATACTGAGGACTCAAACCACAATATAAAGGACTCAATACATCATACACAGTACATACTACACAATACCCAGTACATAATACACAACACCCGGTACTCAATACACAATACCCAGTACATAATACACAATACCCATTACTCAATACACAATAACCAGTACTCAATACATAATACCCAGTACACAATACACAATACCCATTACTCAATACATAATACCCAGTACATAATACACAATACCCATTACTCAATACACAATACCCCGTACTCAATACATAATACCCAGTACATAATACACAATACACAGTACATAATACACAATACCCAGTACATAATACACAACACCCAGTACTCAATACACAATACCCAGCACACAATACACAATACCCTGCACATAATACACAATACCCAGCACACAATACACAGTACCCAGCAGACAATACACAATACCCAGCACACAATACACAATACCCAACACACAATACACAATACCCTGCACACAATACACAATACCCAGCACACAATACACAATACCCAGCACACAACACACCGACTGCAGGGCTACTGCATGACTATGCTGTTTTTGATCCAACGGACTGACATCTGGTCGACCTGCGTGTGAACCAAGGCAGATAGCTTCAACTAAATTAAATAGCGCAACGCTTCTGCCCACGCTCAATTATTTCTATATATTGGGACTGTATAACGATAGAAGGGGTTTAATCTGCATATACGCATGTATAGAGACTATACGCAGAATAGAGAGATAAGGTGGTAACATTCTGCATGATATAGAGATAGTGTGTTATCATTCTGCATAATATAGAGATAAAGTGTTATCATTCTGCATAATAAAGAGATAAGGTGGTATCATTCTGCATAATATAGAGATAAGGTGGTATCATTCTGCATAAAATAGAGATAGTGTGTTATCATTCTACATAATATAGAGATAAGGTGGTATCATTCTGCATAAAATAGAGATAAGGTGGTATCATTCTGCATAATATAGAGATAGGGTGTTATCATTCTGCATAATATAGAGATAAGGTGGTATCATTCTACATAATATAGAGATAAGGTGGTATCATTCTGCATAAAATAGAGATAGTGTGTTATCATTCTGCATAATATAGAGATAAAGTGTTATCATTCTGCATATTATAGAGATAAGGTGTTATCATTCTGCATAAAATAGAGATAGTGTGTTATCATTCTGCATAATATAGAGATAAGTTGGTATCATTCTGCATAATATAGAGATAGGGTGCTACCGTCCTGTTTTACATGTTGATCAGGTCTTATCACCACGTATATCGTAGAGATAATGCGTTATTTACGTATGATCACGGGTTATGATCATCGACATCGCTATGGTCAGTTGTGGTTATCAACCGTTATCTTTCCGCAGTAACACGCTGTGCTGGTTTAAATTATAGTCATGGCTAGAAAACCAGTGCCCCAGCCTTACAAGCTATACTGACATTTGACTGTTTACAGAGCAAGCCTCGTTGAAGACTGCTATAGCCTTGACCACGCCCGATTTCACAACCATCCAAGAACTAGTCACAGTAAGACGGAAAAGTTTACAAATACGACCCACACATGATATGAAGTGTTAAGAAAGTTTCTCACCTGTTCTATACAGCTGGACGCTAATCATCATCAAGACACAGGTGAGAGTGTAGGACGCCATAGTGTACAGCCAGCTGAAGTATACCAGGTAGAAACAAGTTTACTTTACAACCGGAACACCTCAACAGACAACAAGACCTCTAATCCGTCGTGAAACGGGAACAGTCGAGGTGTTCCGAGTGACGGGTGACACGGTTGAACGACTCGCATTGTATGGTCCGGCGACCGCCCTCGTACCTGCCCGAGACAGGAGTGTATGGGGGGAGGAGGTGAGGAATGTACGGCGAGAAGGCAGCGTAATATGTTCATACAATTGCAGCTGGGTCGGTACTTGATATTCCGGTATTGGTAGAGGTTGTAGGTAGGGGACAGTAAGTCGTATTACAAGTAGGGCGCAGTTTGGGCTGGCGTGTATGTGCGGTACAACAGCACTCAGCTACGGTACTTTCTGAAGTGACAGTATTAGGTTTGCACTGTCACATGCGTAGAAATTCAGTATAAAGTTTGCATTGTTACCTGCGTAGAGATTCAGTTTAAAGTTTGCATTGTTACCTGCGTAGAGATTCAGTTTAAAGTTTGCATTGTTATCTGAGTTGAGATTCAGCTTTAAGTTTGCACTGCTATCTGCGTTGAGATTCAGTATAAAGTTTGCTCTGTTACCTGCGTTGAGATTCAGCATTAAGTGTGCACTGTTACCTGCGTAGAGATTCAATATAAAGTTTGAATTGTTGTCTACCGCGTAGAGATTCAGTATACAGTGTGCATTGTTTATCACCTGTGTATATATACAGTATAAGGTGACATTGTCACTTGTGTAGATTCAGTATTAAGTTTACATTTGCCATCTGTGTGGAATTTGAGAGCAAAATCTTCATCGTTGTTTGTTACATGTGAAGACATTCAGTTTAACGTTTACTTTGTTTGTTACCTGTTCAGAGATTCAATATAACCTTTGCATCTTTTTCACCTGTGAAGAAATCCAGGATAAAGTTTGCATCGTTTTTAAGCTGTGTAAAGATTCGGTATGAGGTTTACACTGTCACACGTGTAGATATCGTCTGCACCTGTGTGGAGATTCGTTATAAAGTCTGCATCGTTTGTGATCTGTTTAGAGATTTAATGTAGCGTCTGTATCATTTTCATCTATGTAGAGGTGCATTACAAAGTCTGTATCGTTGGTGTTCTGTTTTTAGATTCAAAATAGCGTCTGTATCATTTTCACCCATGTATAGATGCATGACAAAGTTTGCATCGTTTGTGATCTGTTTAGGGATTCAATATAGCGTCTGTATCATTTTCATCTATGTAGAGATGCATTTCAAAGTTTGCATCGTTTGTGATCTGTTTAGAGATTCAATTTAGCGCCTTTATCATTTTCACCTGTGTAGAAATGCATGACAAAGTTTGCATCGTCTGTGATCTGTTTAGGTATTCAATATAGCGTCTGTATCATTTTCACCAATGTAGAGATGCATAACACAGTTTGCATCGTTTGTGATCTGTTTAGAGATTCAATATAGCGTCTGTATCATTTTCATCTATGTAGAGATGCATTACAAAGTTTGCATCGTTTGTGATCTGTTTAGAGTATCAATATAACGTCTGTATCATTTTTACCTATGTAGAGGTGCATTACACAGTTTTTAAAGTTTGTGATCTGTTTAGAGATTCAATATAGCGTCTGTATCATTTTCACCTACGTAGTGATCCATTACAAAGTTTGTAAAGTTTTTGATCGGTTTAGAGGTTCAATATAGCGTCTGTATCATTTTCATCAATCCTGTGTAGAGATTCAGTATAAAGTTTGCGTCATTGTTCACCTGTGTAAAGATTCGTTATGAAGTTTACAATTTCATCTGTGTAATTTCAGTATAAAGTTTGCATGGTCTGTAACATGTGTACAGATTCAATATAGCTTTTGTATTGTTTTCACCTGTGTACACGTAGATTCAGCATATAGTTTACATTATCATCTGTGTTGAATTTGTGTACAAAGTCTTCATCTTTGTTTGTTACCTTTTGAGAGATTCGGTATCAACTAAATATCTTTTGTTACCTGTGTAGAGATTCATGATAGATGGATGGATGGATGGAAGGATGGAAAGATGGATGGATGGATGGAAAGATGGATGGATGGATGGAAAGATGGCTGGCTGGATGGATGGATGAGGGGAAGATGGATGGATGGATGGATGTCAAGATGGATGGATGTAAAGATGGATGATGGCTGGCTGGATGGATGGATGAGGGGAAGATGGATGGATGGATGGATGTCAAGATGGATGGATGTAAAGATGGATGGATGATGGATGGATGGATGGATGGATGTAAAGATGGATGTAAAGATGATGGATGGATGAGGGGAAGATGGATGATGGATGGATGGATGGATGGATGTAAAGATGGATGGATGATGGATGGATGGATGGATGGATGTAAAGATGGATGTAAAGATGATGGATGGATGGATGTAAAGATGGATGTAAAGATGGATGTAAAGATGATGGATGGATGAGGGGAAGATGGATGATGGATGGATGGATGGATGGATGTAAAGATGGATGATGGATGGATGGATGGATGGATGTAAAGATGGATGTAAAGATGATGGATGGATGGATGTAAAGATGGATGTAAAGATGATGGATGGATGGATGTAAAGATGGATGTAAAGATGATGGATGGATGGATGTAAAGATGGATGTAAAGATGGATGGACGTAAAGATGGATGGATGTAAAGATGGATGGATGGATGTAAAGATGGATGTAAAGATGGATGGATGTAAAGATGGATGGATGTAAAGATGGATGGATGGATGTAAAGATGGATGGATGGATGTAAAGATGGATGTAAAGATGGATGTAAAGATGCATGGATGTAAAGATGGATGCATGTAAAGATGGATGCATGTAAAGATGGATGGATGGATGTAAAGATGGATGTAAAGATGGATGGATGTAAAGATGGATGGATGTAAAGATGGATGGATGGATGTAAAGATGGATGGATGGATGTAAAGATGGATGTAAAGATGGATGTAAAGATGCATGGATGTAAAGATGGATGCATGTAAAGATGGATGGATGGATGTGAAGATGGATGTAAAGATGGATGGATGTAAAGATGGATGGATGGATGTAAAGATGGATGGATGGATGTAAAGATGGATGTAAAGATGGATGGATGTAAAGATGGATGTAAAGATGAATGGATGTAAAGATGGATGTAAAGATGCATGGATGGATGCATGTAAAGATGGATCGATGGAAGGAAAGATAGATGGATGGATGGATGGATGGATGTAAAGATGGATGAATGGATGGATGGAAAGATGGATGGATGGATGGATAGATGGATGGATGGATGGAAAGATTGATGGATGGATGGATGGAAAGATGGATGGGTTATGGATGGATGGATGATGTAAAGATGGATGATGGATGGATGTAAAGATGGATGGATGGTTGATGGATAGATGGATGGATGGAAAGATGGATGGATGGATGGAAAGATTGATGATGGATGGATGGATGGATGGATGTCAAGATGGATGGATGGAAAGATGGATGTAAAGATGGATGGAAAGATGGATGGATGGATGGAAAGATGGATATATGGATGGATGGAAAGATGGATAGATGGATGGATGGATGAATGAATGAATGGATGGATGGATGGATGGATGATGGATGGATGGATGGATGGATGGATGGATGGATGGATGGATGGATGGATGGATAGATCTAGGGGCTGGCAAAAGTTGTTACATCTAATAAATCAATAACAGATTCAAAAAGAATATCTCTTTGTTGTTGAGTCTTTTTACAATACATAAACAACTGTTTGATCATATGCAAATGTGCCGCATAAACATTCATTGGATTGAGATCTGTAGGTGCTAAGACATAACATATATGCTAAATCATAGAAGTGATCCGGGTTTTCAATAATTAGTAACCATAGCCTGTGTACTTTAGGTGATGGAATTAGAAAGTTTTCTCTTAAATGAAGCTCTGAATAAATTATGTTACAGTCATATACACTTTTTTGTTCTTTGTGTCGACTCACCCATGCGTGTCTGTCGGGAACCCGAGAAGACGAGGTATAGGTCATCATTATTGAGTTCATACTTGTTTACTAGTGATACTATTTGGTATAAGGGTGACATATTACATTTGTCATCCCTTTCTTTAATGGTATCTATTACCATAAAAACTTACGTCCTTGTTGTCAAACGGCCCACATGGGTGGGTGTTTACATGACGTCACCCGTTTACGTATTAACCAATGAAATGTGTGTGTTATCATGACGTCATATTGACCTGTCAGGTCAATCGTATAGGCTCCGCCAACAGGAGTGCGGTAGTCTGTGCTGTGCTTAAATATAAACTTAATGTCACAATGACATAGTCTTCCAAGGATTAGGAGAGCTCATTGATCAATGTACGCCTGAAGAGAAATTGAACCGAGACAATCTCCGGTAATTACGGAAGGAGTGCGTCTTGACAAATCTTAAATCTTTTTACAAAAATAGCTTTGAGTAATTTCAAACATTTCGTATTGCTTTTTGATAGTTTGCACTACACATTACAAGCAAAAAATCCAAAAATCCACATACGAACAGCTGGGAAAGGATTTAAATCACGAAAATATAGACCATGGTTATACTTTATATCGACTGACATCCGGTCTGGAAGGTCTGGTATTGTGGAACGTTTGACCCGCCTGGAAGGTCTTGTGTTGTGGAACGTTTGGCCCGCCTGGAGGGTATGGTGTTGTAGAACGTTTGGCCCGCCTGGAAGGTATGGTGTTGTGGAACGTTTGCCCCGTCTGGAAGGTATGGTGTTGTAGAACGTTTGACCCGCCTGGAAGGTATGGTGTTGTGGAACGTTTGACCCGCCTGGAAGGTATGGTGTTGTGGAACGTTTGACCAGCCTGGAAGGTATTGTGTTGTGGAACGTTTGAACCGCCTGGAAGGTATGGTGTTGTGGAACGTTTGACCCGCCTGGAAGGTATGGTGTTGTGGAACGTTTGACCCGCCTGGAAGGTATTGTGTTGTGGAACGTTTGACCCGCCTGGAAGGTATTGTGTTGTGGAACGTTTGACCCGCCTGGAAGGTATGGTGTTGTGGAACGTTTGGCCCGCCTGGAAGGTATGGTGTTGTGGAACGTTTGACCCGCCTGGAAGGTATGGTGTTGTGGAACGTTTGAACCGCCTGGAAGGTATGGTGTTGTGGAACGTTTGACCCGCCTTGAAGGTATGGCTTGACCCGCCTGGAAGGTATGGTTAGACCCGCCTGGAAGGTCGGGGTGAGGAGACATTAGAGGATTTCAAGAAGTTGTCATTCGACATGATGTAAGGCAAACACACTTGTCCAATGATTCTGAGGAAGAATACTTGGTTGCCCAAATGATACTTAGGTCAAATTACATCCCTTCATATGATAAGCGACAAACTTCGTCACAACCTGTAAGTTCGAGTGTGGTGGAACGTTGGGCCCTCCTGGAAGCTCGAGTTGAGGAGATGTTAGGGTATATAAAAACGCCGATGGCTATCGTGAGTCGACGATTTAGAAGTCCCTCATCATCACCAACTGGATCGGGGGAGTGCTTCAAGTGTGTGAAGGGGTTCTCATCGATCCCAATTGCGTAGATCGATGCTCATGATATCAATCACTGTATTGTCTGGTCCAGACTCTATTATTTACAAACCGCCGTCATATAGCTGGAATATTGCTGAGTACGGCGTTAAACAACAAACCAACCAACCAACCAATCAATACTTTGTCACTGGCCCCCAGGTTGCGGAAGACCTACTCTAACCCGGATCTTCCCGCGTAAGTATAAAGTGTGCATTGTTTGCTACCTGTGTAGAGATTCGGCATAAGGTTTACGCTGTCACCTGTGTAGAATCAATGTAAAGTTTACATTGTCATCTGTATAGAATCTGGGGCGGTCGGGTAGCCTAGTGGTTAAAGCATTCGCTCGTCACGCCAAAGACCCGGGTTCGGTTCCCGACATGGGTACAATGTGTGAAGCCCAATTCTGGTGTCCCCCGCCGTGATATTGCTGGAATATTGCTAAAAGCGGCGTAAAACCATACTCACTCACTCACTGTATAGAATTTAGTACAAAGCCTTCATCGTTGTCTGTTACCTATATATAGGTTCAGTGTAAAATTTGCATGATCGTTTGTCACCTTCGAATAGATTCAGCATTTACTTTGTTTTCAGCTGCGTAAAGATTCAGTATTAACTTTACACTGTTAATTACCTGTGTAGTGATTCAATATAGGATGGGAAAAGTATCAAGTTTACATTGTCATCTGTGAAGATTCGGTATAAAGTTTACAATGTCATATGTGTAAATTCAGTATAAAGTTTACATTGTCATCTGTGAAGATTAGGTATAAAGTTTACAATGTCATATGTGTAAATTCAGTAGAAAGTTTACATTGTCATCTGTGTAGATTCAGTATAAAGTTTACATTGTCATCTGTGTAAATTCAGTATAAATTTAACATTGTCATCTGTGTAGATTCGATATAAAGTTTACATTGTCATCTGTGTAAATTCAGTATAAAGTTTACATTGTCATCTGTGTAGATTCAGTATAAAGTTTACATTGTCATCTGTGTAGATTCAGTATAAAGTTTACATTGTCATCTGTGTAGATTCAGTATAAAGTTTACATTGTCATCTGTGTAGATTCAGTATAAAGTTTACAATGTCATCTGTGTAGATTCAGTGTAAAGTTTACAATGTCATCTGGGTAGATTCAGCATAAAGTTTACAATGTCATCTTTGTAGATTCAGTGTAAAGTTTACATTGTCATCTGGGTAGATTCAGTGTCAAGTTTACAATGTCATCTTTGTAGATTCAGTGTCAAGTTTACATTGTCATCTGGGTAGATTCAGTGTCAAGTTTACATTGTCATCTGTGTAGATTCAGTGTAAAGTTTACAATGTCATCTGTGTAGATTCAGTATAAAGTTTACCTTTTCATCTGTGTAGATTCAGTATAAAGTTTACATTGTCATCTGTGTAAATTCAGTATAAAGTTTACATTGTCATCTGTGTAGATTCAGTATAAAGTTTACAATGTCATCTGTGTAGATTCAGTATAAAGTTTACATTGTCATCTGTGTAGATTCAGTATAAAGTTTACCTTTTCATCTGTGTAGATTCAGTATAAAGTTTACCTTTTCATCTGTGTAGATTCAGTATAAAGTTTACAATGTCATCTGTGTAAATTCAGTATAAAGTTTACATTGTCATATGTGAAGATTCTGCATAAAGTTTACAATGTCATCTGTGTAGATTCAATATAAAGTTTACAATGTCATCTGTGGAGATTCAGCATAAAGTTTACATTGTCATCTGTGTAGATTCAGTATAAAGTTTACATTGTCATCTGTGAAGATTCAGCATAAAGTTTACATTGTCATCTGTGTAGATTCAGTGTAAAGTTTACATTGTCATCTGTGTAGATTCAGCATAAAGTTTACAATATCATCTGTGTAGATTCAGTGTAAAGTTTACATTGTCATCTGTGTAGATTCAGTATAAGCTTACATTGTCATCTGTGTAGATTCAGTATAAAGTTTACAATATCATCTTTGTAGATTCAGTATAAAGTTTACAATGTCATCTTTGTAGATTCAGTATAAAGTTTACATTGTCATCTGTGTAGATTCAGTATAAAGTTTACAATGTCATCTGTGTAGATTCAGTATAAAGTTTACAATGTCATCTGTGTAGATTCAGTATAAAGTTTACAATGTCATCTGTGTAGATTCAGTATAACGTTTACATTGTCATCTGTGTAGATTCAGTATAAAGTTTACATTGTCATCTGTGTAGATTCAGTATAAATTTTACAATGTCATATGTGTAAATTCAGTATAAAGTTTACAATGTCATCTGTGTAGATTCAGTATAAAGTTTACATTGTCATCTGTGTAGATTCAGTATAAAGTTTACAATGTCATCTGTGTAGATTCAGTATAAAGTTTACATTGTCATCTGTGTAGATTCAGTATAAAGTTTACAATGTCATCTGTGTAGATTCAGTATAACGTTTACATTGTCATCTGTGTAGATTCAGTATAAAGTTTACATTGTCATCTGTGTAGATTCAGTATAAATTTTACAATGTCATATGTGTAAATTCAGTATAAAGTTTACAATGTCATCTGTGTAGATTCAGTATAACGTTTACAATATCATCTTTGTAGATTCAGTATAAAGTTTGCAATGTCATCTGTGTAGATTCAGTATAAAGTTTACATTGTCATCTGTGTAGATTCAGTATAAAGTTTACAATGTCATCTGTGTAGATTCAGTGTAAAGTTTACCTTGTCATTTGTGTAGATTCAGTGTAAAGTTTACAATGTCATCTGTGTAGATTCAGAATAAAGTTAACAATATTATCTGTGTACATTCAGTATAAAGTTTACAATATCATCTGTGTAGATTCAGTGAAAAGTTTACATTGTCATCTGTGTAGATTCAGTATAAAGTTTACATTGTCATCTGTGTAAATTCAGTATGAAGTTTACAATGTCATCTGAGTAGATTCAGTATAAAGTTTACATTGTCATCTGTGTAGATTCAGTATAAAGTTTACAATATAATCTGTCACCTGTGTAGATTCAGTATAAAGTTTACATTGTCATCTGTGTAGATTCAGTATAAAGTTTACAATGTCATCTGTGTAGATTCAGTATAAAGTTTACAATGTCATCTGTGTAGATTCAGTATAAAGTTTACAATGTCATCTGTGTAGATTCAGTGTAAAGTTTACCTTGTCATCTGTGTAGATTCAGTATAAGTTTACAATATCATCTGTGTAGATTCAGTATAAAGTTTGCATTGTCATATGTGTAGATTCAGTATAAGTTAACAATATTATCTGTGTAGATTCAGTATAAAGTTTTCAATATCATCTGTGTAGATTCAGTATAAAGTTTACATTGTCATCTGTGTAGATTCAGTATAAAGTTTACATTGTCATCTGTGTAGATTCAGTATAAAGTTTACAATGTCATATGTGTAAATTCAGTATAAAGTTTACATTGTCATATGTGTAGATTCAATATAAAGTTGACCTTGTCATCTGTGTAAATTCAGTATAAAGTTTACATTGTCATCTGTGTAGATTCAGTATAAAGTTTACAATGTCATATGTGTAAATTCAGTATAAAGTTTGCAATATCATCTGTGTAGATTCAGTATAAAGTTTACATTGTCATCTGTGTAGATTCAGTATAAAGTTTACAATGTCATCTGTGTAGATTCAGTGTAAAGTTTACCTTGTCATTTGTGTAGATTCAGTGTAAAGTTTACAATGTCATCTGTGTAGATTCAGAATAAAGTTAACAATATTATCTGTGTACATTCAGTATAAAGTTTACAATATCATCTGTGTAGATTCAGTGTAAAGTTTACATTGTCATCTGTGTAGATTCAGTATAAAGTTTACAATATCATCTGTGTAGATTCTGTATAAAGTTTACAATATCATCTGTGTAGATTCAGTATAAAGTTTGCAATAACATCTTTGTAGATTCAGTATAAAGTTTGCATTGTCATATGTGTAGTTCCAGTATAAAGTTTGCAATAACATCTTTGTAGATTCAGTATAAAGTTTACATTGTCATCTGTGTAGATTCAGTATAAAGTTTGCATTGTCACCTGTGTAGTTCCAGTATAATGTTTACATTGTCACCTGTGTAGATTCAGTATAAAGTTTACAATGCCATCTGTCTAGATTCAGTATTAAGTTTACATTACACTGACATGCTATGATATACCCGGAATATTGTAGAAAGGCGGCGCCAAACCCAATTCACTCACTCACTCCACTAAATAAATGTAGGCTTTAGAAACCAATTCGTATCCCAGATGCGAGTATTTTACAGGCAGCCGTGATATTAAGTGCGGGCAAAAGGAAGTGTACAATAATGTTTAATGGTTATAATGAAACAAACTAGAAATAGTTATTCGATGGTGAAATATTCCATATGGGTTTTTATATTTGCTTCAGCGACTGTTCAGCCTATTAACGTTTTGATATCGTTTATAGTTTTTTGGTCAAATTCAATTTCCATGTGTGTATTTACTTTTGTCCGGGATTTTGGCATGAATCGTGATGAGTGCAGTGTATACAAACAAACAAACAAACACGCTGCATACAAAAACGGTCCAAGGGTTGAAACAATTCTGAAAAAACAATTTCAGTTTCACATTTTGTTATAAGAAAGATTTAGTGCGTGTCTAATACTGATGACGTTATTACAGTTATGTACACCAGTGCGGGACATTAGCATTAGATCAGTCAATCAATCTTGCTGGAAAAATCATGGGAGAATGTTTCCTGTGGATCTATTCGGGATTATTTCCGCTAGAACGTTTGTGCGTACCAGTCTGTTGCAAGATTATTCCTACTGGAATATTCGTGCTTGATGTATTGCTAAGTTTTTCTTACTGAAACGTTCATGTTTGGTGTCTTGCTAGATTATTCCTGCTAAAACAATCGTGGTTGGCCTGTTGCTAGATTATTCCTGCTAAAACATTCGTGCTTGGCATGAAGATAGATTATTCCTGCTAGAACGTTTGTGGTTGGCCTGTTGCTAGATTACTCCTGCTAGAACATTCGTGGTTGTTCTGCTGCTAGATTATTTCTGCTAGCACGATCGTGGTTGGCCTGTTACTAGATTACTCCTGCTAGGACATTCGTGGTTGTTCTGTTGCTCCATCATTCCGACTAGAGCGTTCGTGGTTGGCCTGTTGCTAGATTATCCGACTAGAACGGTCTTGGTTGGCCTGTTGCTCGATTATTCCTGTTAGAACGACTGTGGTTGGCCTGTTGCTAGATTATTCCTGCTTGAACATTCGTGCTTGGCATGAAGCTAGATTATTTCTGCTAGAACGGTCGTGGTTGGCCTGTTGCTAGATTATTCCTGCTAGAACATTCGTGCTTGGCATGTTGCTAGATTATCTCCGCTAGAACATACGTGGTTGGCCTATTGCTATATTATTTCTGCTAGAACGCTCGTGGTTGGCCTGTTACTAGATTAGTCCTGCTTGGACATCATTCGTGGTTGGGTTGTTGCTTGATTATTTCTGCCAGAACGCTCGCGGTTGGCATGTTGCTAGATTATCTCCCCTAGAAAGTGTTTTGCTTGATTATTCCTGCCCGGACATTCCCGTTGGTCTCACCACAGAATATAATTGATCTACTGTTCTAGAAAGGGGTAATCATCTTATTTTAGTTCTTTATACCGCTTACAGTATTACTGCTTATTCTGATTTGTCAGCCCTTGTCGGCCACCGAGACGTGGCTCTAACTAATACTGATTTCTACTACTTCAACAGAAGAAAATGTTTGTTCCCGGTTTCGCCTGGGACGGCTCGTATAAACGCGTCTAGCTTGGACTCCTGTGATGATTTGTTGATCGTTGTTAAATGGGTCCAGGACTTTTATCGACCTCCGTTATGTGAAAGCAAGCATGGTGTTGTGTCCCCAATCCATCTGAAGCGAATTCTTGACATCATTCGGGACGTCATTCGCGATGTCATTCGGGATGAGAATGAAGGAGCAATAATGAATGCTTTCATTCAACTACGCCAAGGCATGAAGCTTCTCTACACAACAGTGTAACACTTTTCTGAAGACGTTGGGATGACGTCAGTGCCGAGAAACGTTGGCCGGAAATGACGACATGCGTGTGTTGTAACGTCAAAGACAAACGAGCAGCAGCTGACTTGGGCGACACATACTAGGGCACACTTTGTGGCGGAGGTCAAGGTCATCAAGGACGTTTCCTCAACTCCGATTAGAGTCGAGCGCTTACCGAACCGCGCTGCCTCCACGCCTCCGTCTGAAACAAAAGACGTCAAGGATCAACGGTCAAATGACGTTTATTGTACTAAAGGCTCCCTGCCCACATAAAAGGATCAATGGTCAAATGACGTTTATTGTACTGAAGGCTCCCTGCCCACATAAAAGGATCAATGGTCAAATGACGTTATTGTACTAAAGGCTCCCTGGCCACACAAAAGGATCAATGTTCAAATGACGTTTATTGTACTAAAGGCTCCCTGCCCACACAAAGGATCAATGATCAACTGACGTTTATTGTACTAAAGGCTCCCTGTCCACACAAACGGATCAATGGTCAAATGACGTTATTGTACTAAAGGCTCCCTGCCCACATAAAAGGGTCAATGGTCAAATGACGTTTATTGTACTAAAGGCTCCCTGTCCACACAAAAGGATCAAAGTTCAAATGACGTTATTGTACTAAAGGCTCCCTGCCCACATAAAAGGATCAATGGTCAAATGACGTTTATTGTACTAAAGGCTCCCTGTCCACATAAAAGGATCAATGGTCAAATGACGTTATTGTACTAAAGGCTCCCTGCCCACATAAAAGGATCAATGGTCAAATGACGTTTATTGTACTAAAGGCACCCTGTCCACACAAAAGGATCAATGTTCAAATGACGTTTATTGTACTAAAGGCTCCCTGTCCACACAAAAGGATCAATGGTCAAATGACGTTATTGTACTAAAGGCTCCCTGCCCACATAAAAGGATCAATGGTCAAATGACGTTTATTGTACTAAAGGCACCCTGTCCACACAAAAGGATCAATGGTCAAATGACGTTTATTGTACTAAAGGCCCCCTATCCACACAAAAGGATCAATGGTCAAATGACGTTATTGTACTAAAGGCTCCCTGCCCACATAAAAGAGAGAGTTAAATACTTTCAAGTAAGACAACACATTGGGATATACACGTTGTATAACTAGTTCATTTCCTGGAAGAGTGGCTATCAGATGAGATTCAAGTTAAGCTCACATTAACAAGAAAAAACATTCTGCTTGGATTTGATCAGCGACACAACGATCCTATAAATGTAATTATCTTACTTTGCAAATTCGTAATTTTTAAATATAGATATTCAAAAAAGGTACCGAACTGCCAGTTTTAAAAAAAAAGAGATTTACAAATATTACATGCTTACAAAATACACAGCTCTCATAAGTAATAGTATCGATACATTCTACAAATTTTTGTCATCTTGTAATCTTTTGTTTCCCACACAATAATTCTGTTCTCAACTTTTGTTTACTGCCTTTGTATTACATTGTATAGCCCGTGTGTAAAAATGCAACAGAAATAAAAAGTTATTGAAAAAAAGTTCATTTCCTTTGGCTAAAGCATGTTTAATATATAGATAAAGATATACTTCGTTCTTTTTCTTCTGAGTGAATACTAAAGCGTTTATTGGTGGCATTGATATCAAAATCTTTTATATATTGCTTTCAAAGATCACTGTAAAATGGACAAGCACAGAATTTCTTTTTCTATCTCAGTGTTAACATAATAAACAAATTCTTTTCGATTTTTCAATGCAAAATTTTCTTCATTCGTTTACAATTAGGTCTAGAAAGTAGGCCAAGTTGATATTTTATGATTTTTGTCTTATGTATTCCGTAGTAAGTTCAGTAAACCACGGTTATAACGAACTCGAAGAGACCACTAATTTTAGTTCATAATAACCGTAGTTCGTTATAAGCATATATACGACATTTATACAACAAATGGTCGGGACTGAAAAATAAGTTCGTTATATCAGTCAGTTCGTTATATGCGTGTTCGTAATAACCGTAGTTTACTGTACTGATAAATAAATGTGAGGTTGACGTAAGGTACTCTTATCTGTAGCTGTATGTTCACGTCAATTGGTGGTGTGTTCGATGACTGATAACTCGACATTTCCTACAATACCTCCTACTACGTAAATGAAAGTTATCTTGTCACTTTCAAAGTTTGAAAAGAAAAGATCTAAATGTATATAAAACCTTTTTCAAATATTCTAAATACAAACAGCGAGACGTTATCCTTGTGTCTGATGATTATTCCTGAAATAATTTGGATATATATTTATATAACAAAAATAAACTCAACAAGCTTGACGCGCTGGTTCCTGGAGACTTTTGCTTGTATAATGTTGGTGTTGTCACCTTCTTCTTCGATATAAAGAAAAACATAAGCACTATTGTCATCCTGACCCAGTATATATCTTGCTTGAACATGTATCTGGAGTGTTGACTGTCTGCTGTGCGAACAAAGGAATCATCATTGTCCTTAAGAACACCGTCCCTTGCTTTTGTTCTTGACCTTCCGTCTTTGTGCTCGATGTGTTTACGTAACGGTGTGTTCGCGGAGGACCATCTGAAGTCACTCTGGTGTCTTTGTTCAAATTATTTATGTTCCAACAGCCACAGTGTGGTAAAAGTAGATTTATTGATCGTTACAGTTATTGCTCTTGTGAGAAATGGTTTCACATGGCTCTTGTACAATATAAGTTGCATGGCATGTATGTATTTCTCTTTCGTGAAGAGGTTGGTGTGTAGTGAACAACGTCAGTTTCAAGCAGTGGAGAATTATACTGTAATCGTTATCATTTTCTGTAAGACAATTTCGTATAACTGCACATATTGATAGCTGTGTTTTTCCGCGTTTTGATCTACTTTATGTCAAAGTATTTCTGTATCACTTAATCTTAGCAATCATAGCAAAGTAAATCATTGTTACAAACTGAAAGATATTTAACTTGTTTAAACGATAAAAGTTTAATCAGAGCTTATTGTAAACTTAGAATTTCTTTGCACAATTTTAATGTAAATGGATGTCGCAGGTCCAAAGACACTGATATTGTGAACTCTATTTGTACAAACTGTTCATCCGGAACAGAAGAGGATGAATGCCATGTCTTACTTATATGTGAAACGTATTCCAATTTAAGGTATAAATTTCTCCCCTTGTTGCAAGGTAATTTTAAAGACCGTCAGTTAATTATAAATCTGCTAAGCTCTGAAAGCATGATATGATCCATGATGTTTCTGTATTTTTAAAACATGTCTTTGTCGTGAGAAATGTGCAACTTGATTTTAAAATCAAATCATGTACATCGCGTGACAAATGTTCATATCCAGTCTGTATTGTACTATGGGCCTTGATGTCTAAATAACTGAATAAACTGTCCGTCTTATGTCCTTGTCTTTTCAAGTTTACGCAATTGAAATTGTTTACGTGATTGCTGTTACAGACAAAGCTTAAGCGTCAGCGGCACATTGAATGGATGTTTAGAGGCAAGTGAAACATCTATGTTAACAAGGAGAATGTGTTGATACATTATAAGGGCGAAATTAAATCTTTACGTTTGATATGTCTTACTAAAACAACCGGAAGTGAAGATGTCTTTAATTTCGTGTCAAAACGGATAACGTTGCGCGGATGCATAAAACGTTGCACTGGATCTGTATCTAGTCCAATTGCACGTATGTTTAGAAATATCTCCAACTGACATTGCTCGCATGTTGATGAGTGTCTAAGATACTGCGTATACCACGAAGCCATTGGTTTCCTACAGTTTACTCACGTAGGTACGGCGTATACCACGAAGACAAGGGTTTCACACATTGTACCCACATGATACCTCGTATACCACGAAGACATGGGTTTCACACATTGTAAGCACGTAAATACTGCGTATACCAGGAAGACATGGGTTTCACGCAGTGTACCCACGTAGATACCGTTTAGACCACGAAGACATGGGTTTCACACATTGTACCCACGTAGATACCACGAAGACATGGGTTTCACACATTGTACTAACGTAGATACCGCGTATACCAAGAAGACATGGGTTTCTCACCTTGTATCCACGTATATACCGCGTATACCACGAAGACATGGGTTTCACACACTGTTCCCATTTAGACACCGCGTATACCACGAAGACATGGGTTTCACACACTGTACCCATTTAGATACCGCGTATACCACGAAGACATGGGTTTCACACACTGTACCCACTTAGATACCGCGTAGACCACGAAGACATGGGTTTCACACATTGTACCCACTTAGATACCGCGTATGCCACGAAGACATGGGTTTCACACATTGTACCCACTTAGATACCGCGTATGCCACGAAGACATGGGTTTCACGCGTTGTACCTACGTAGATACCGCGTATACCACGAAGATATTGGTTTCACACATTGCCCACACGTAGATACCGCGTATACCAAGAATACATGAGTTTGACACACTGTACCCATTTAGACACCGCGTATACCACGAAGACATGGGTTTCACATATTGTACCCACGTAGATATCGCTTATAACACGAAGGCATGGGTTTCGCACATTGTACCCACGTAGACACCGCGTATACTACGAAGGCATGGATTTCACACATTGTACCCACGTAGACACCGCGTATACCAAGAAGACATGGGTTTCACGCATTGTACCCACGCAGATACCACTTATAACACGAAGACATGGGTTTCACACATTGTACCCACGTAGATACCGCTTATAACACGAAAACATGGGTTTCACAAATTGTATCCACGTAGATACCGCTTATAACACGAAGACATGGGTTTCACACATTGTACCCACGTAGGTACCGCGTATACCTGCTGACAAGTTGAAGTAAGAACACTACACCAAGATGATCACAAGTACCGGCTCACATCACACGATGCGGAAAGGCAAGTGAAATGGGAGTCGAATAACTATTGGCTTAATATAATTACTAAATAGGTCGTTAGATAATCGATTTCGGTTTTTATAACTCGAAAGGATGTTGTCACTTTTGTTTACGTATGAGTATGCCTTTCGTCAAAAAATAAATAATAGGATGCGATTTTTTCACTTCTGGGTATTGATTATGCTCTGGGTGTATCCATATTTAGAAAATGAAAACGTCCTGACTATACCATATTCCACAAAATGTCAAATTATAAATATTGTATTGCTAATCTTATCTGAATCGCATCCGACTTTAATGAAACCCATTAATCTTGACGTTCCATGTGAAATCCTGCTAACTGACGTATCGACAGAATGCCAAAATCATCGGTACAGAGTGCTGTATTAACGTATTCAATATATTGTCGTTAGCAATAGTGATTGCCCGGATAGAGCAGAATTCCGGACAAACAGGAGTTCCCTGTCTCAAACATTGAATAGTACATGTGATACTTGAACCTTACATATTGCGCGAGAACAGGATGATGCAGCTTCGGGCGTACTTGGTGCTGCTTCGGACGTCGTTTGTGCTGCTTCGGACGTAGTTGGTGCTGCTGCGGACGTAGTTGTTGTTGACTCTGACGCTGTTGCCGGAACTGGAAATATAAGGATATTGTGTTTTCAACTCGATCTACTTCAAAAGGCAGGATTTAAACTGAAGTCTCTTTCAGTGTATATTTGGATTAATAAACAATTGTTAAACGCTGCTCTTCATACCGAACATAGCTTGCTTGTATGAAGGAGAATATTGGCTTCCTTAACAGTGAAACTGCGGGACTAAATCTTAAAACAGCGCAACACTGAATACACTCAATGAATGTTAAGGACCTACAGCCACTAGTACAGATTGTATGTTCCTACTCTTCGTCCTGACAGTGCATGAATATGATTGAACGCCGCTCTCAGCAATAGTCTAGTAATATTACGGCTTGCCACACCAGACATGTTACACATTGTACCCTTGTAGGCCTGGTACCAGCAATATGACGGCGGGGGACAGCAGACATGATCTTCAAACCTTGTACCCTTGTAGGCCTGGTACCAGCGATGTGACGACGGGGAACAGTAGACATGATCTTGACACATTGTACCCTTGTAGGCCTGGTACCAGCAATATGACGACGGGGGACAGTAGACATGATCTTCAGACATTGTACCCTTGTAGGCCTAGTACCAGCAATATGACGATGGTGGACAGCAGATATGATCTTCACACATTGTACCCTTGAAGGCCAAGCAATATGACGGCGGGGGACAGTAGACATGATCTTCAAACCTTGTACCCTTCAATGCCTAGTACCAGCAATTTGACGACGGGGAACAGTAGACATGATCTTGACACATTGTACCCTTGTAGCCTAGTACCAGCAATATGACGATGGGGGACAGTAGACATGATCTTCAAACATTGTACCCTTGTAGGCCTAGTACCAGCAATATGGCGATGGGAACAGTAGACATGATCTTCACACATTGTACCCTTGTAGGCCTAGTACCAGCAATATGACGACGGGGAACAGCAAGCATGATCTTCAAACCTTGTACCCTTGTAGGCCTAGTACCAGCAATATGACGACGGGGAACAGCAAGCCTGATATTCAAACATTGTACCCTTGTAGGCCTAGTACCAGCAATATGCCGGCTGAGGACATCAGACATGTGCTGCACACATTAGTACCAGCAATATCGACCCGTGAAGATCCGGGTAAGAATCAATCTTTAGCAATCCGAGTGGACGGGCTTGCTGACTTGGCTGATGCATGTCATCCTATCGCATTTGCGTAGATCGATGCATAAGACGTCAATCACTGGATGTCCGCCGTTATATAAACTGACGTCCAAAAGAAACTTTTCCAGAGTTTGAAATCACTCTTGTTCAAAAACAACAAAACATACAGTAGCGTGTGTGACCACCAAATGCCTCAATACACGCATAAACTCTTCGACGCAAAGAAAACGTAAGTCGTCTGATGAGGTCACGTGGGATTTGACGCCATTCGTCATGGAGGGCCAAGATCAGTTCTTGCCGGTTGGCTGGAGAGTGTGGTCGTTGTCGAACACGACGATCCATCAATCCCAGAGGTGTTCTATGGGGGACATGTCTGGTGAGCGTGCAGGCCACGGCAGGACGTTGACGTCCTTGGTTGCGAGGAAGTTAGTTACAATTCTGGCTGTATGCATGGGCTCTAGCGTTGTCATGCTGATAAATGATACCACGTGGCTGCTGTTGGAGAAATGGTAGGACAACTGGACGAAGAATGTTATCCATGTAACGCTGAGCTGTCAAGTTTCCGTCAACGATGACCAGCGATGTCCTCTCCTGCCCACAGATCCCTCCCACAACCATGACACTCCCTCCACCATATGGTACGACCTCCTGCACGCAACACGCCGCCGTTCGTTCACCCCTTCGGCGGTAAACACGTTGTCTTCCATCAGCCTATAAACATACAGAATCGACTTTTTGTCAGTGAAGACAACTCTCTGCCAGTCACGTCGTTGCCAACGTCTTACAGTCCGGGCCCATCTCAATCGCAGACGACGATGTTGCGCTGTCAATAGCTGTTCTCTGTATGGTCTAAAAGTCCTGATTCCATGAGCCCTGAGTCTCCTGGCCACTGTCTGTCGACTCACCCTGTGAACTAAAGCATTTGTCGCCGATGACGTCACTGTCAGGAAGCGATTTCGGAGGTGCAGGTACGCAAGTACCGGTCATCATGGGGCGTGGTCACCCTGGGTCTGCCTGTTCTTTGCCTGTCAGCGGTCCGCCCTCTCTGTCTCCAACGTTGCATCTCTCCGTCTCTCTCCCTCCCTCTTCTCTCTCCGTTCCTCCTCTCTCTTTCTCTCTCTCTCCTCTCTCTCTCTCACTTACCCACCTTTCTCCCTCTACTCTCTCTCTCTCACTCACCCATCTCTCACCCATCTCTCATCCATCTCTCGCCCTCCACTGCCCGTTCCCATCTCCCCCTTTTTTGTCCCTCCCCTCCCTCTCTGTCCCCCCTCGCTCCCCTTCTTATCTCCCCCCTTCTCTCTCCCTCCTCCTATCCCTCTCACTCATTCACTCTCTCTCTTTCTCTCGCGCTCTCTCTCTCTCTACTCTTTTTGGGGTACATCGGGATACAAGGTCACACATCTACCCACCTCCAGCCTCCTGACACACTGTGTTGTAAGCGGAGGTCAGGCTAGTCGCCTTCCACTTGCCGCCCATATTGCTCGTCATGCTGTAAGCACAGTCACCGGAATCGCCGCCTTCCCATCTTGGTGACGTCATAGCAGTTCCGGTTAGAGATACAGGGTCCCACCACTGCCAGGTCCCGCTGACCTTTTTCAGCCCCAACCAGTGCTGCCCGTATTGGCTTCCTGTGACAAGGGAGATAATCCAGTTTGACTACTTGACTAATGCGTTAGGTTCCAAACTGCACGCGAGAGAGTGTGTGTACGTGTTAACGCGACTTTGAGCAGGTTTCCAACTTTATGATGGCAGTGTGCACATAATCGAATCTAGACCAGATAATCCAGTGATTGATATTATAAGCAATGGTCTTGGCCATCAACCAATTTAAGTCACCAAGTCATTCGTCACCACTCGCCCCTTTCCGTAACCTGCAAGAAGACTCGTCCCCCTATCGATGAATGTTATGAGCGAAAATACGACAAACTAATCAGAATGCGCGTATGATTTCAAGTTTTTCGTCAAAGAATCCCTCAGAAATAGACTGGGACGGGTAAATCGGGTACTAGGTCGGGTGAGTCCTGAGTAGGACCCGGGTACAAAAATGACTACCCGGACCAGTGGTTAGTCTCGTGATATATTGTTTAATGACAAAAAATATCTAAAACTCTATGGTTACACTATCAGTCAATAATGTTCCCATTTCTTTTAGACAATGCACACATTCCTTCTGACTTTATATGTTTGAATAGAGATAAAATTTCGTGCAGTAAACTTCAGTGTATGCATGACCAGAACGTTTTACACGTGTTTCTAAATACATTTTGCCAGGGCTGCGGTCAAAGTTTTTCAGTTTGCACCTATCTCTAAATAACTATAGCGGGTACCCGGATAGGGTCGGGTAATAGGGTGGTGGGTACCCGGGTAGTAAATTTGGACTCGTCCCAGACCTACTATAGACTCAACTCACTCACTACGCTATTTATCGAGGCCGATCGTTCTCATGACCTACACCAAGCTCGTACAGTTTGGATCCTGAAGTACACGGTCTGTTGTATGCAATACAAAAGGCAATGCGGCACATGGACACTTCATCTCACCGAGCGCGGCGTACACGGCCTCCTGGGTTGCCTCGTTCTGGAAGTTCGGTAATTGTGTCCACTCGCTCGAGCAAAGTGTCTCTGCGGCGGAGTATTGAAAGTTATTAATGAAGCCATAGTAACAGACTCCATCCACTTCCACGGTCGTGTGCAGAGTACCATCAGAGGAGAACTTGGAACAGTTGCCACCTGTTGGACAAAATCAGTTGACCCAATGAGTGATGAGTATTGCATGCCAGGAGAAATATCACCGCTTCAGTTAAAATCAATTGCTACTGAGAGGAGGATGCAAGATGTCAACCCGATGTCGTCTGGACAGGGTAAAGTGGGAGGACAAGATGATGGGTTCTGGGCACGGTCTGTTGGGGGTCGCATGTTGACGAGTGTCTGAGAAAAATCGTATGTTTAGAAATATCTCCAATTGACATTGCTCGCATGTTGACGAGTGTCTAAGATACCGCGTATGTTTAGAAATATCTCCAATTGACATTGCTCTCGTGTTGACGAGTGTCTGAGATACCGCGTATGTTTAGAAATATCTCCAATTGACATTGCTCGCATGTTGACGAGTGTCTAAGATACCGCGTATGTTTAGAAATATCTCCAATTGACATTGCTCTCGTGTTGACGAGTGTCTGAGATACCGCGTATGTTTAGAAATCTCTCCAATTGACATTGCTCGCATGTTGACAAGTGTCTGAGATACTACGTATGTTTAGAAATATCTCCAATTGACATTGCTCGCATGTTGACGAGTGTCTGAGATACCGCGTATGTTTAGAAATATCTCCAATTGACATTGCTCGCATGTTGACGAGTGTCTGAGATACCGTGTATGTTTAGAAATATATCGCGGATTGATATTGCTCGCGTGTTGGCGAGTGTCTAAAATACCGCCTACGTTTAAAATATCTCCAATTGACATTGCTCGCGTGTTGATGAGTGTCTGAGATACCGCGTATGTTTAGAAATATATCCAATTGACATTGCTCGTATGTTGACAAGTGTCTAAGATACCGCGTATGTTAAGAAATATCTCCAATTGACATTGCTCACGTGTGGACGAGTGTCTGAGATACCTCGTATGTTTAGAAATATCTCCAATTGACATTGCTCACATGTTGACGAGTGTCTAAGATACCGCGTACGTTTAGAAATATCTCCAATTGACATTGCTCGCATGTTAATGAGTGTCTGAGATACCGCGTATGTTTAGAAATATCTCCAATTGACATTGCTCGTGTGTTGACGAGTGTCTAAGATACCGCGTATGTTTAGAAATATCTCCAATTGACATTGCTCGCATGTTGACGAGTGTCTGAGATACCGCGTATGTTTAGATATATCCACAATTGACATTGATCGCATGTTGACAAGTGTCTGAGATACCACGTATGTTTAGAAATATCTCCAATTGACATTGCTCTGTGTTGACGAGTGTCTTATATACCGCGTATGTTTCGAAATATATCCAATTGACATTGCTCAAGTGTTGACGAGTGTCTGAGATGCCGCGTATGTTTAGAAATATCTCCAATTGACATTGCTCGTGTGTTGATGAGTGTCTAAGATACTGCTTATGTTTAGAAATATCTCCAATTGAAATTGCTCGCATTTTGACGAGTGTCTAAGATACCACGTATGTTTAGAAATATCTCCAATTGACATTGCTCGCATGTTGACGAGTGTCTAAGATACCGCGTATGTTTAGAAATATCTCCAATTGACATTGCTCGCATGTTGACGAGTGTCTAAGATACCACGTATGTTTAGAAATATCTCCAATTGACATTGCTCGCATGTTGACGAGTGTCTAAGATACCACGTATGTTTAGAAATATCTCCAATTGACATTCCTCGCATGTTGACGAGTGTCTAAGATACCACGTATGTTTAGAAATATCTCCAATTGACATTGCTCGCATGTTGACGAGTGTCTAAGATACCACGTATGTTTAGAAATATCTCCAATTGACATTGCTCGCATGTTGACGAGTGTCTAAGATACCACGTATGTTTAGAAATATCTCTAATTGACATTGCTCGCATGTTGACGAGTGTCTAAGATACCACGTATGTTTAGAAATATCTCCAATTGACATTGCTCGCATGTTGACGAGTGTCTAAGATACCGCGTATGTTTAGAAATATCTCCAATTGACATTGCTCGCATGTTGACGAGTGTCTAAGATACCACGTATGTTTAGAAATATCTCCAATTGACATTGCTCGCATGTTGACGAGTGTCTAAGATACCACGCATGTTTAGAAATATCTCCAATTGACATTCCTCGCATGTTGACGAGTGTCTAAGATACCACGTATGTTTAGAAATATCTCCAATTGACATTGCTCGCATGTTGACGAGTGTCTGAGATACCGCGTATGTTTCGAAATATCTCCAATTGACATTGCTCGCATGTTGACGAGTGTCTAAGATACCACGTATGTTTAGAAATATCTCCAATTGACATTGCTCGCATGTTGACGAGTGTCTAAGATACCGCTATGTCGTCAAGACATGATGGAGCGGCAATCAAGATGTTGTCTGGACATGGTGGAGGGGGGAACAAGATGTCGTCTGGACATAGTGGAGGGGGAACAAGATGTTGTCTGGACATGGTGGAGGGGGGAACAAGATGTCGTCTAGACATATCGGAGGGGGGAACAAGATGTTGTCTGGACATGGTGGAGGGGGAACAAGATGTCGTCTGGACATAGTGGAGGGGGAACAAGATGTTGTCTGGACATGGTGGAGGGGGAAACAAGATGTTGTCTAGACATGGTGTAGGGGGAACACGGTGTATTGTCTGGACATAGTGGAGGGGGGAACAAGATGTTGTCTGGACATAGTGGAGGGGGAACAAGATGTTGTCTGGACACGGTGGAGGGGGGAACAAGATGTTGTCTGGACACGGTGGAGGGGGAAGAAGATGTTGTCTGGACACGGTGGAGGAGGGAACAAGATGTCGTCTGGACATGGTGGAGGGGGAAGAAGATGTCGTCTGGACACGGTGGAGGGGGTAACAAAATGTCGTCTGGACATGGTGGAGGGGGAACAAGATGTTGTCTGGACACGGTGGAGGAGGGAACAAGATGTCGTCTGGACACGGTAGAGGGGGGAACAAGATGTTGTCTGTACACGGTGGAGGGGGGAACAATATGTTGTCTAGACACGGTGGAGGAGGGAACAAGATGTTGTCTGGACACGGGTGAGGGGGGAACAAGATGTCGTCTGGACACGTTGGAGGTGGAAGAAGATGTTTTCTGGACATGGTGGAGGGGGGAACAAGATGTTGTCTGGACACGGTGGAGGGGGGAACAAGATGTCGTCTGGACACGGTGGAGGGGGGAACAAGATGTCGTCTGGACACGGTGGAGGGGGGGACAAGATGTTGTCTGGACATGATGGAGGGGGGAACAAGATGTTGTCTGGACACGGTGGAGGGGGGAACAAGATGTCGTCAGGACATAGTGGATGGGGGAACACGATGTTGTCTAGACACGGTGGAGCGGGGAACAAGATGTTGTCTGGACACTGCGGAGCGGGGAACAAGATGTCGTTTGAACACGGTGGAGGGGGGAACAAGATGTCGTCTGGACACGGTGGATGGTGGAACAAGATTTTGTCTGGACACTGCGGAGCGGGGAACAAGATGTTGTCTGGACATGGTGGAGGGGGAACAAGATGTTGTCTGGACATGGTGGAGGGTGGAAGAAGATGTCGTCTGGACACGGTGGAGGGGGGAACAAGATGTCGTCTGGGCATGGTGGAGGTGGAAGAAGATGTCGTCTGGACACGGTGGAGGGGGGAACAAGATGTTGTCTGGACACGGTGGAGGAGGGAACAAGATGTTGTCTGGACAAGGTGGAGGAGGGAACAAGATGTTGTCTGGACACGGTGGAGGGGGGAAGAAGATGTTGTCTGGACACTGCGGAGCGGGGAACAAGATGTTGTCTGGACATGGTGGAGGGGGAACAAGATGTTATCTGGACATGGTGGAGGGGGGAACAAGATGTCGTCAGGACACGGTGGAGGGGGGAACAAGATGTCGTCTGGACATGGCGGAGGTGGAAGAAGATGTCGTCTGGACACGGTGGAGGGGGGAACAAGATGTTGTCTGGACACGGTGGAGGGGGGAACAAGATGTTGTCTGGACACGGTGGAGGAGGGAACAAGATGTTGTCTGGACACGGTGGAGGAGGGAACAAGATGTCGTCTGGACACGTTGGAAGGGGAAAAGGATGTTGTCTGTTCATGGTGGAGGGGGGAACAAGATGTTATCTGGACACGGTGGAGGGGGGAACAAGATGTCGTCTGGACACGGTGGAGGGGGGAACAAGATGTTGTCTGGACATGATGGAGGGGGGAACATGATGTTGTCTGGACACGGTGGAGGGGGGAACAAGATGTCGTCTGGACATAGTGGATGGGGAAACAAGATGTTGTCTGGACACTGCGGAGCGGCGAACAAGATGTCGTTTGAACACGGTGGAGGGGGAAACAAGATGTCGTCTGGACACGGTGGATGGTGGAACAAGATGTTGTCTAGACACGGTGGAGGGGGGAACAAGATGTTGTCTAGACATAGTGGATGTGGGAACAAGATGTTGTGTGGACATGGTGGAGGGGGGAACAAGATTTTGTCTGGACACGGTGGAGCGGGGAACAAGATGTTGTCTTGACACGGTGGAGGGGGGACAAGATGTTGTCTGGACATGGTGGAGGGGGGAACAAGATGTCGTCTGGACACGGTGGAGGGGGGAACAAGATGTCGTCTGGACATGGTGGAGGGGGAAGGAGATGTCGTCTGGACACGGTGGAGGGGGGAACAAGATGTTGTCTGGACACGGTGGAGGGGGGAACAAGATGTTGTCTGGACACGGTGGAGGAGGGAACAAGATGTTGTCTGGACACGGTGAAGGAGGGAACAAGATGTCGTCTGGACACGTTGGAAGGGGAAGAAGATGTTGTCTGGACATGGTGGAGGGGGGAACAAGATGTTGTCTGGACACGGTGGAGGGGGGAACAAGATGTCGTCTGGACACGGTGGAGGGGGGAACAAGATGTCGTCTGGACATGGTGGAGGGGGGAAGAAGATGTTGTCTGGACATGATGGAGGGGGGAACAAGATGTTGTCTGGACACGGTGGAGGGGGGAACAAGATGTCGTCTTGACATAGTGGATGGGGGAACACGATGTTGTCTAGACACGGTGGAGGGGGGAACAAGATGTTGTCTGGACACTGCGGAGCGGGGAACAAGATGTCGTTTGAACACGGTGGAGGGGGGAACAAGATGTCGTCTGGACATAGTAGATGGGGGAACAAGATGTTGTCTAGACACGGTGGAGGGGGGAACAAGATGTTGTCTGGACACGGTGGAGGAGGGAACAAGATGTTGTCTGGAAACGGTGGGGGAGGGAACAAGATGTCGTCTGGACACGTTGGAAGGGGAAAAGGATGTTGTCTGGACATGGTGGAGGGGGGAACAAGATGTTGTCTGGACACGGTGGAGGGGGGAACAAGATGTCGTCTGGACACGGTGGAGGGGGGAACAAGATGTCGTCTGGACATGGTGGAGGGGGGAAGAAGATGTTGTCTGGACATGATGGAGGGGGGAACAAGATGTTGTCTGGACACGGTGGAGGGGGGGAACAAGATGTCGTCTGGACATGGTGGATGGGGGAACACGATGTTGTCTAGACACGGTGGAGGGGGGAACAAGATGTTGTCTGGACACTGCGGAGCGGGGAACAAGATGTCGTTTGAACACGGTGGAGGGGGGAACAAGATGTCGTCTGGACATAGTAGATGGGGGAACAAGATGTTGTCTAGACACGATGGAGGGGGGAACAAGATGTTGTCTGGACACGGTGGAGGAGGGAACAAGATGTTGTCTGGAAACGGTGGGGGAGGGAACAAGATGTCGTCTGGACACGTTGGAAGGGGAAAAGGATGTTGTCTGGACATGGTGGAGGGGGGAACAAGATGTTGTCTGGACACGGTGGAGGGGGGAACAAGATGTCGTCTGGACACGGTGGAAGGGGGAACAAGATGTCGTCTGGACATGGTGGAGGGGGGAAGAAGATGTTGTCTGGACATGATGGAGGGGGGAACAAGATGTTGTCTGGACACGGTGGAGGGGGGGAACAAGATGTCGTCTGGACATGGTGGATGGGGGAACACGATGTTGTCTAGACACGGTGGAGGGGGGAACAAGACGTTGTCTGGACACTGCGGAGGGGGGAACAAGATGTCGTTTGAACACGGTGGAGGGGGGAAAAGATGTCGTCTAGACACAGTGGAGCGGGGAACATGATGTTGTCTAGACATAGTGGAGGAGGGAACAAGATGTTGTCTGGACACGGTGGAGGAGGGAACAAGATTTTGTCTGGACACTGCGGAGCGGGGAACAAGATGTTGTCTGGACACCGTCGAGGGGGAAGAAGATGTCGTCTGGACATGGTGGAAGGGGGAACAAGATGTTGTCTGGACACGGTGGAGCGGGGAACAAGATGTTGTCTGGACACGGTGGAGGGGGAAGAAGATGTTGTCTTTACACGGGGGGAACATGATGTTGTCTGGACATGGTGGATGGGGAAGAAGATTTTGTCTTGACACGGTGGAGGGGGAACAAGATGTCGACTAGACATAGTGGAGGGGGAAGAAGATGTTGTCTGGAGCAGTGAGAAGGGAAACAAGATGTCGTCTGGAGCAAATGAAAGGGGTGACAAGATGTCGTCTGGACCACTTGGAGGCAGGATATCTTACCCACGAGAGTCCATCTTGATATCAATAGAACAACAAATGAGACAAATGTCGTGTGCATATTATCTCCCATGGTTGGTATCAGCAAAACTGCTTATGTGTTCCTGGTTTGATCTGCAACATGAAGAGCAAAACGTATACAATAGTTTCAAGTCAATGTCGCTGTCACAGTGTGGCTCTCCAATATATATTTACACAGGCTTTTGAGGAAATTATTACTGAATCAAAATAGTATAATTCTATTGCTGAGACTATGATGTTATCATATACCCATCCCGAATAACATGTCCGAATTGATTTTCCATGCAAATCTTCCCATATTGTCAACTTATTAATGTCTGTGACAGGTGAGTGTTTCGAAAAATATTTTGCTGCTATTGCCTTGATGTTGTCTTAAGAGAACCAAACACAAAGTCGTCTCCATAGGTACAGAATAACATACACAACTGTTTGTTTACGTTGAATATATATAATACATTTCATTGACTCTATTGATTTTTAAAAGACCTTTCCGAACGGCTGATTGTCGGACAGACGGATGTTTAGGACCATCGACAATTGACTGTAAGACACACGGCTGCTCTAGGAACATCAACGGTTGCCTCACGAAGATACGGGTGTTCTAGGAACACTACCAGTTTGCTGTCGGACAGACGGGTGTTCTTAGAATATCAAGGGTTGTCTGTCGAACAGATGAGTGTTCTTAGAACATGGACGGTGGACTGTCTAAAAGACGAGTGTTCTAAGACCATGAACGGTTGACTATCGGGCAGACGGGTGTTCTAGGAATATCAGGTTTTGACTGTCGAACAGGCGAGTGTTTAGGAACAGGAAAGGTTGACTGTCGGGCGGACAGGAGTTTAGGAACACGAACGGTTGACTATCAGGCAGACGGGTGTTCTAATACCGTGAAGGGTTGACTAGCAGGCAGACGGGTGTTCTAGTACCGTGAAGGGTTGACTAGCAGGCAGACGGGTGTTCTAGTACCGTGAAGGGTTGACTATCAGGCAGACGGGTGTTCAAGTACCGTGAAGGGTTGACTATCAGGCAGACGGGTGTTCTAGTACCGTGAAGGGTTGACTATCAGGCAGACGGGTGTTCTAGTACCGTGAAGGGTTGACTATCAGGCAGACGGGTGTTCTAGTACCGTGAAGGGTTGACTATCAGGCAGACGGGTGTTCTAGTACCGTGAAGGGTTGACTATCTGGCAGACGGGTGCTCTAGGAATATCAAGTTTTGACTGTCGAACAGACGAGTGTTTAGGAACAGGAAAGGTTGCCTGTCGGGCGGACGGGAGCTCTAGTACCGTGAAGGGTTGACTATCAGGCAGACGGGTGTTCTAGGAATATCAAGGTTTGACTGTCGAACAGACGGGTGTTCTAGTACCATGAAGGGTTGACTATCAGACAGGCGGTTGTTTTGGGAATATAAAGGGTTGACTGTCGAACAGACGAGTGTTCTAGTACAATGAACGGTTGACTATCGGATAGGCGGCTGTTCTAGGAACTTCTGTAAAGTGGTACTATACGCATGTCATGATGTCAACAGACATAGAATAAGGTATCTGTCAAACATAGGGCTGCGTCTGAAGGGAGTTATGCCCCCGCGTGTGTTTGCCAAGTTATTTTTTGTTCCGAATGTGTCACACAAAATACAACCACCCACAAATAGTGTATATGTACAATAGTATGTTTCAGAGCTGTCAAATAAAACTGACGTTTTTTTATTTGTAATGCTATGTATGCCTTCCGAATCAATGCAGTACTTTGTCACTCACTCCCTTTCTTAAACAAACATTCAAATACCCAAACCCACCCGACCTACCCACCCAACAACACACGCACGCACCCAACCACCACCAATAAACCCATCCACTCACTCACTCACTCACTCACTCACAGTTTAGAAATCAGTTTGTAATTTGTGAAAGTCATCAATAATTCTATAATTCAATAATTCTCACCTTCTGTGTTACTTTGACCGTCAAGTAACACACCATGGTTGGAATTCATTCAAAATCTAGGAATCAATATAAACTCAATCTATTATGCAACAGTAAAAGCTTCCGTTGTGCGGGTTGATTGAAGATGTTTGCTTTGTACTCTTCTCAACTTAGGATCATTGGTGTTTCTCAAAGATCCAACATTTTAAAAGCCAGACTCGAGAGCCGAGGCCGACGTTTTACGTATTTCGTAACAATAAATATTTATCGATGCTGGTGGGTCCTTGCAGCCATGTATTCAGAACAAACGGATGTGGAAGGGAACGCAATCGGAATTTCTAACTGATATGTGTTCTACTTTTGTTTTGCTCGTGCTGTCACCGACGGCGTAGTTCAAGGTCAAGGTCACGGAGACTGTTCATGTATTGGTTGACGTTAGTGTTTGACGTCAGTGTTTGACCGCTTCTCCACGAATCTAGTTTCCATTGCACGTGATTGACGTATGTCAAATGTAAACGTTTCCAAGATTTCATTGATCCAAATAACTAAAGTGAACGGACTTCCTGAAAGTGGAGGAACATGTATAAGCCATTAACACCAGCAAGAGCTACAAAACCAACATAACTAACATAACCTACATCATCAACACCATCCACACCATCAATATAATCAACATCATCAATACCATAAAAACATCAACACTATCAACACCACCAATACATGAACATCATCAACACCCCAAACACCATGTACACCACTAACACCATCAACATCATCAACATCGTCAACACTGTCAACACTATCAACATCATCAACACCATCAACATCATCTACACCATCAACATCATCTACACCATCAACAGCATCTACATCATCAACATCATCTACACCACTAACACCATCAACATCATCCACACCATCAACATCATCTACACTATCAACATCATCAACACCATCAACATCAACTACACCATAAACATCATGTACACCACTAACACCATCAACATCATCCGTACCATCAACATCATCTACACTATCAACATCAACACCATCAACATCATCTACACCATCAACATCATCTACATCATCAACATCATCTACATCATCAACATCATCTACACCATCAACATTATCTACATCATCAACATCATCAACATCATCTACATCATCAACATCATCATCATCAACATCATCAACACCATCAACATCATCTACACCATCAAAATCATCTACACCATCAACATCATCAACACCATCAACATCATCAACACCATCAACATCATCTACACCATCAACATCATCAGCATCATCAACATCATCAACATCATCTACACAATCAACATCATCTACACAATCAACACATCAACATCATAAACACCCCAAACACTATCAACACCGTCAAAACTATCAACACCATCAACATCATCTACATCATCAACATCATCTACATCATCAACATCATCAACATCATCAACATCATCTACACCATCAACATCATCAACATCATCTACACCATATTCTTCATCCACATCATCAACATCATCTACACCATCAACATCATCAACATCATCAACACCATCAACATCATCTACACCATCAACGCTACCAACACCATCAAAATCATCTACACAATCAACATCATCAACATCATCAACACCATAAAAACATCAACACTATCAACACCACCAACACATCAACATCATCAACACCCCCAACACCATGTACTGCACTAACACCATCAACATCACCAACATCGTCAACACTGTCAACACTATCGACATCATCAACACCATCAACATCATCCACACCATCAACATCATCTACATCATCAACATCATCTTCATCATCAACATCATCTACACCACTAACACCATCAACATCATCAACACCATCAACATCATCTACACTATCAACATCATCAACACCATCAACATCATCTACACCATCAACACCATCTACACATCAACATCATCTACATCATCAACATCATCTACGCCACTAACACCATCAACAACATCTTCATCATCAACATCATCTACACCACTAACACCATCAACATCATCAACATCATCTACTCATCAACATCATCAACATCATCAACATCATCTACATCATCAACATCATCTACACCATCAACATTATCTACACCATCAACATCATCTACACCATCAACATCATCTACACCATCAACATCATCTACATCATCAACATCATCAACACCATCAACATGATCTACACCATCAACATCATCAACAAAATCAACATCATCTACACTATCAACATCATCTACATCATCAACATCATCAACACCATCAACATCATCTACACCATCAACATCATCTACATCATCAACACCATCAACATCATCTACACCACTAACACCATCAACATCATCAACATCATCTACTCATCAACATCATCTACATCATCAACATCATCTACACCATCAACATTATCTACACCATCAACATCATCAACACCATCAACATCATCTACACCATCAACATCATCTACATCATCAACATCATCAACACCATCAACATCATCTACACCATCAACATCATCTACACCATCAACATCATTTACACCATCAACATCATCTACATCATCAACATCATCAACACCATCAACATCATCTACATCATCAACATCATCTACACCATCAACATTATCTACACCATCAACATCATCAACACCATCAACATCATCTACACCATCAACATCATCTACATCATCAACATCATCAACACCATCAACATCATCTACACCATCAACATCATTTACACCATCAACATCATCTACATCATCAACATCATCAACACCATCAACATCATCTACACCATCAACATTATCTACACCATCAACATCATCAACACCATCAACATCATCTACACCATCAACATCATCTACATCATCAACATCATCTACACTATCAACATCATCAACACCATCAACATCATCTACACCATCAACTTCATCCACATCATCAACATCATCTACACCATCAACATCATCAACACCATCAACATCATCTACACCATCAACACTACCAACACCATCGAAATCATCTACACAATCAACATCATCAACATCTTCTACACTACCAACACCATCGAGATCAGCAACACTATTTACATCATTAACATCATATCCATCATCAACATAGATATTT